TTTGGATTCAAGCTCCCATCCTTGTTTAGAGTGGCAAGCGATTTACCAGCTGAGCCCTCTCCTCATCCCACTCGAGATGTCTTTGCTCCAGGAATGATACATATATATCACCTTCATTCACATCCCAGGAAAGAAGTATCCATGAGTCCTCACCTAAATACACAGGAATTTTAACCTGGGTGTACCTTGGAAGAAGCAAGTACTCTCCCAGTGCGATCAGATGAAACCAAGGGATGATCCATAAACTGTGGTTGCCAGTTTGCCTTTATCATATATTCGAGAGGATGTATTTCTAGCCACTGTTGCTGCAGAGCAATGTACTCAGAAATTCAGCAGCTTCAAATAACTTTAATTAATCAAGCTAATGGGCTCTGTGTGGTCAAAATTAAAAACGGGCACGAAGAAGTTATGTTGTTTCTGCTCCATGAGAGCTGACTCAACAGCACAGGCTGCAAGCATGTAGAGAATGTATATCCGTGTGTTTGTTAGCTGATACCAGCCATTAGGAGAACCTCAGCCAAGGCTGCTGACCAAAAAGCTCCACACGGAGTCTCGTGTGGTCTCCACTTCATGACATGGTAGCATCATGGAATCGGATTCTTTGGTGGGGCAGCTCAGAATGACAAAAATAACGCTCTAACTAGGTAGGCAGAAGCTAGGCTGCCATTCACGACACAGCCTTGGTGATTTCTGCTGTAGTCTCCTGGCTTAAGAATTTACAAGCTGGGGCTGGAGAGATGGCTCAGTGGTTAAGAGCACAGACTGCTCTTCCAGAGGTCCCGAGTTCAATTCCCAGCAACCACATGGTGGCTCACAACCATCTGTAATGAGATCTGGCGCTCTCTTCTGGCGTGCGGGCATACATGGAGGCAGAATGTTGTATACATAATAAATAAATAAATCTTTAAAAAAAAGAATTTACAAGCTGACTCAAATTCAAGGAGAAAGGGCCTACATCTATACCTCGATGGGTATCAATGGGAGAATACTCAGCCACAAATAAAGGACCATATGGGGTGAAATATCCTATGGTGTCTGGTTTTGGAAATTATAATCTCCCACATACACTGGTTTAGACTAACTAAATTTCCCTGTGTGAAATTCTTTGTGCTTTAGAGAAAAATGGGCAGCAAACCATGGCCCTGTGCCTGTCTTTAGAAACAAAATTTTACTGAAATACAGCCATGCCTATTCATTAGAAAAGTTGCATAGCTCCAAAAGAGACCATATGTCCTAAAAATGATCCATTATTAATTCTCAAGTCTGAGGAGTTTGCTCACTCTTCAGATAGAATATTGATTAAGGACCTGGGTGCCATACTAACCTATTACATTTAAAATATCCTTTTTGAGATAGGGTCACATGTCTCCTGAGAAATTCTGACCCTCCTACCACTACCTCTTAAGTGCTGGGATTTTGGAGCTGCACCGCCACACCTACTTTATATGGTGCTGGATATGGAGACCACTGCTTTAAGCGTGCTTGGAAACACTCCCAGTCGAGCTCCAACCCCAGTCCTAGTTGCACCGTTTAGAAAAAACTTTAGACACCTCTGGACTGCCATTTTCCAGCCACTGAGAAAATGATAAAGTCTGACCTGGAGTTGTAAGCACCACGTGAAATAATCCACTGGAAAGACTCAATAAGCAATCACACTAATTTCTGTCATCAATATTAGCTTTAAGTATCAGCTACGTCAACTGTCAGGCAGTTTATATGCTTGTACCCAACATCTCACCTTCTTCAGTTTACAGTGTATCTAGTGATGGAGGAAGCCCACTTCATCTTTATCCATATAATTAGGAATTTCTTCCCTCAGCTGGCTTCTAACCTGTCTCTCGTAGCTCACCACTATCAACGCTGGTAATATTTCCTTGGCATTCTATAAAAACATCTACTCCAGCTCTTCAGTTCTTCAACTATATGACAAAGCTCCTCTGGATTTTAGTCACATAGTTTCTGTTCCAAACATCCTTTCTTGGGGGACTTCCCTTTCTTTCAGGGTAATTCTCTTCAAAAGTGGCTTCCCCAGAAATCAGCAAAATGTCTCAGACCTGCACAAAAAGCCTAGTTTGAGCCCGAGAGTATCCATATTCTTCTGGTGCTACAAATGCCCCATGTTGGGTGCCAGATGTAGCACAAGTAATAAAAACCCAAAGACAGATATTGGGGTTCAAGTTGAAGATCAGAAAAGCAAAGCAGCCAAGCCACTAGAGACGCAAATCTATATAATGCTACCTGTATGTGTGTTTTCAGAGCTGACTGTTCCGCACTGAAGAACCAGTTAATATACTCTCCTCAGGAAAGGGCCACCTCTCCCACTCTGAACTTCACTCCGTTCTTTATTGTTCTTCGTGTAGGACTGAGGCCTCCTGGGATTGTTCCACCAGGCAGTTCGGTGTGTTTGTTGATGTCCTCCTTGTTCGGCTCATGTTTGGAGGTCATGTTGATAAGACATTACAGTATAGCTTCTGTTGTTACTAGGAAACATAATCTCAAAGTAATAGCCCTGATTCTCTGGCTCTTACAACATTTCTACCACCTCATCTGCAATGTTCCCTGAGCCTTAGATGTGGGAGTGCTCCATAGATCTATCCATTGAGACTGGGCTCCACACTCTGCATTATAATTGGTTGTCGTTTTCTGTAATAGCCTCTCTGTCTATTGCAAAGAGAAGTTTTCTTGATGAGGGATGAAGATAAGAGTTATATGTGGGCATGGAGACACACATTTCTATATTGTAGTTAGGTGCTGTGGTAGCTTAGTAAATTATTGGTTATATATTCTCCTCCAGTAATCATGATTTCACTAGCACTGATTAGATAGCTAGGTTCCAGCACTAAGCATGGTCTCTCTTTTGTTGAGTGTGTCTCAAGTCCAATTAGAGTGCCGTTGGTTACCACCAAGCTATGTGTGCTGCTGCTGACCCCGTAGAATTGTTGTGCTATGCTGGTCATTTCTGTGTTCATGGACATCATGTCTGAACAGGACTGTTGGTTGTGTCTCTCCTTTGCAAGCTTGTGTGGCACCTTCTGGTACCATGAAAGCTCCTTAGGGGAAATTCAAGTCAGTTCCATCTCAGGGCCCTGTTTCTGAAGTCCATGAGTCTTTAGTAATAGAAACTAATCTTCCACCTCTGGAAATAACCAAGGGCAATAGCATTCAGCAGTATATTTTAGGAATCTCTTAAACAGCCCAGACCAATAACTCAAAAGGTTTCTATTGTCTGGTATTGGGGTTTTTGTTAGGTGGTCTTCATTTTCTTAACATCATCCGCTGATTGGATGAGGCCTATCAACAGTATGAAGGATAATATTTTTGCTCAAGGCACACTGACTTTAAGCTTCAATTTAATGCAAAAAACAAAATCCACAGAAACATTCATATGTACAAATATTTGGCACCATAGTCCAGACAGGTTAGCACATACCGTAAACCATGAAACTATCACTAACCCTTTAATTTTTTTCTTGCAGAGAAAATTAGTAAAAGTATATTTTTATGAAACCTAGATTTATGTTTTGATAGTTAAGTTATTTTATAGTATACAATCTGTTATGTAAGTCTGTGACTATGTGTCTGTCCACAGGCTTGTCACAGTGAAATGCAATATATCCAGTTAAACATTTTATTATACTTAAGTATAGAATCTAAGTACATGCATTTTGATTTCACAGCACAAAATTCATATCAGTCACCAGTCATATGTTCCTAAAAGACTGGTAGTTCAAGGAAATGAGAACACAAAACTAATTTTTTTTCTTTTTTTATTGATTTTTATTAGGCTCTACATTTTTCTCTGCTCCCCTCCTTGCCTCTTCCCTCCCTTCCAACCCTCTCCCAAGGTCCCCATGCTCCCAATTTAGTCAGGAGATCTTGGCTTTTTCTCCTTCCCATGTAGATTAGATCTATGTATGTCTCTCTTTGGGTCCTCATTGTTGTCTAAGTTCTCTGGGATTGGGTTTTGTAGGCTGGTTTTCTTTGCTTTATGTTTAAAAACCACTTGCAACACTAATTTTAAGATTAACCCTGCTCCAAATATCAGAATCTAGATTCAACATGCACCACGGATAGGTTTCATCATTGACTTCAATCTCCTGAAAATTCCACCTTTATAATTTCAATTTTTAAATCTAGTGATATATTCTAAATCATTTGAAAAAATTATCAAAAGAAAGTATCCATACAAAAAAGATATCTAAGCATCAAGTTCTGCTCAATATTAATAATTTTGATGAAAATTCTCTTGGGTAAAAAAAATTCCAGGATGCTATCTAAAAAAGTAGTTTGGGATAGGGGCTGGAGAGATGGTTCAGTGGTTAAGAGCACTGACTATTCTTCCAGAGGACTCAGGTTCAATTCCCAGCACCCACGTAGCAGCTTACAACTTTCTGTAATCCCAGTTCCAGGATACCCGACACTGTGATACAGATATACATGCAGAAAAAAAACAACAATGCACATAAATAGTTTTTTTAAAAAAATAGTTTTAAGGAACTAGTTTTTTTGTTCTACGCATTCATAATCTATATTTTCAGTTTTTGTTTTTCCTTGGTTAGCCACCTGTGACAGAAATTATTCAACTGAGACATTAAGGGAACAATAAGAGGCTGGAGAGATGAGTCTGTGCTAACGAAGAGTTGCCGCTCTTCCTGAGGACCCAAGTTCAGTTTCCAGCACCCAGAGCCAGCAGTTTCCAACTACCTGTAACTCCAGTTCCAGGGGATACAACACAATCTTCTGGTCTCCACAAATCCTCATGTTCACACACACACACGTAGTTTAAAAATAATTTTTTTTTCAAGACAGGGTTTCTCTTTATAACAGCCCGAGCTTTCCTAAAACTCACTCTGTAGCACAGGTTGGTTGGCTATATATATATATATATATATATATATATATATATTCTAAAGAAAATTTGTAACTGTCTCATAAATTGCATTAGTAATTCCTTCTGGTGAAATTGACCCTTCTCTTTTGTTCTACTTTCTCCTCTTTAGGTTTGGATGTGTGGAGGAGAAATGTTTGACGTTCCATGCTCTAGAGTCGGCCATATCTACAGGAAGTATGTCCCTTACAAAGTTCCTTCTGGGACCAGCCTGGCACGAGTGAGTAACTAGGCATCAGAACAGTCTGGGCTCATGCAGGCTCTGCTTCCTGCAGGTGGGGACTCAGTCATACACATGGTTGTCAAGAGCCCTGTTCCTCTGCTGTGTCTCCACTGCTTAAAGAAGCAGTAACTGTGATGGTTTCTGTCATGTATCACAGCATCTGCACATGCATTGTGTTTAACATTAACTGTTATCTTCTGCTAATCCTTGTTTTTCTTTTTTTTGGTTTTTTATTTATTTATTTATTAAAGATTTCTGTCTCCTCCCCTCCACCGCCTCCCATTTCGCTCCCCCTCCCCCAATCAACTCCCCCTGCCTCATCAGCCCCAAGAGCAGTCAGGGTTCCTTGCACTGTGGGAAGTCCAAAGACCTCCCACCTCCTTCCAGGTCTAGTAAGGTGAGCATCCAAACTGCCCAGGCTCCCACAAAGCCAGTACATGCAGTAGGATCAAAACCCATTGCCATTGTTCTTGACTTCTCAGCAGTCCTCATTGTCCGCTATGTTCAGCGAGTCCAGTTTTATCTTATGCTTTTTCAGACCCAGGCCAGCTGGCCTTGGTGAGTTCCCGATAGAACATCCCCACTGTCTCAGTGTGTGGGTGCACCCCTCGCAGTCCTGAGTTCCTTGCTCGTGCTCTCTCTCCTTCTGCTCCTGATTTGGACCTTGAGATTTCAGTCTGGTGCTCCAATGTGGATCTCTGTCTCTGTCTCCTTTCATCGCCTGATGAAGGTTAATATCCAGGAGGATGACTATATGTTTTTCTTTGGGTTCACCTTCTTATTTAGCTTCTCTAGGATCATGAATTATAGGCTCAATGTCCTTTATTTATGGCTAGAAACCAATTATGAGTGAGTACATCCCATGTTCCTCGTTTTGGGTTTGGCTTACCTCACTCAGGATAGTGTTTTCTATTTCCATCCATTTGCCTGCAAAATTCAAGAAGTCCTTGTTTTTTTACTGCCGAGTAGTACTCTAATATGTATATATTCCATACTTTCTTCATCCATTCTTCCATTGAAGGGCATCTAGGTTGTTTCCAGGTTCTGGCTATTACAAACAATGCTGCTATGAACATAGTTGAGCATATACTTTTGTTGTATGATAGGGCATCTCTTGGGTATATTCCCAAGAGTGGTAATCCTTGCTACCAGTGTTAAATATCAACTGGGTCAGCCATCAGTCCAGACTCTGTGCTGGTCTCCAGTGTCACCTGCTGTGGGTTTCAAGACCAAGTGGAGGATTAGGGAAGAGGTTTGCTCTTGAACCCATGAATGACCAACAGCAGTAGTGTAAAACGAGGCCTGCAGACGGATGATCATCTTTCCCTTACCGGGGAATACAATAGGAAACATAATTAGTCACACGAAGTAAAGAGTAGAAGTGGGGGAAGTGGAGGCTCAAACTCAAGTCTCTCCTCCTGTAGAACAACAGTTGAAGCTAAATATAGGTTTAGACCATCCTTAAATTGTCCATAATTAACCAAGTCCAGTTTTATTTCTTCTTTGCTTTATTCTGTTTAGAATAAAATTTTCCTTGCAGATCAAATGCAAGGGTACTTTTACCATCTGCCTTTTAGAAGCTTCCATGCCTGTATGGGAAGAGAGAAAAATCTCAAACCTTCTCCAAACAGCCCTAATGCTGGCTCTGCCATCCATGCTACCTTCTTCTTGGTTGTGTCTTCTCTTGACCACATTACGTACTTAGATGCCGAATCTAAAAACGTGGGGTCTTCAGATGCATTGGTACTATGATCGCCTAACTATCTAATTTTGAGTTACTTGTTTTGATTTCTTTACTAAGGTTCAATGTATAACCACTTGGATCTTTTCTATATGATTCCACAAACTCAAATAACAACTCTTTGCATATTATTATTATTATTATTATTATTTCACCAGGGTTCATTCACATATCAGTCTCACAAGGTTGGAGCTTTGAGTCTGCTATTTCACATTATACCATCATCTAAAATAGAGCACAGAGAACATTCAGATAACTTATTGAAGAGTGTAATTAATTAGACTCCTCAAGGACACAATATAGGTTCAAGTCGTTGATAAAACTTAGGACATTTTAATGAACCTTAATAAAATTATCATCCTTAGTAAGTCCCTACAGGCTCTTGCTCTTTCTCACTTGCTTTGTGAGGCTGTCAACCGCATTGACATTTTCTCCACCCACTTCCACGGCCCTTTCAGCAGTAGTGAGACATTCTATGATGAAATTTCACCGCACATTCCTTAATGGGAAGCCATCATCACACCACTCCCCGCGTCCTCAAATAACAGGACATCAATAACACATTGCACTAAATACCTGTTTTAAAACACCGTATGACGGGGAAAACAGTCATGAAATTCATACACTGATTAAAAAGCTGTATTTTGGATTAAGAAATACAGTTATAATTTAGCCAAAGGACTCAATACATATGAATGAGGAAGCAACACAGATTCACAGGAAGGTTAAAGAGAAAATTAATTCAAGCACACATTACACATCAGCTGTGTGGATTTCGTTGCAGTGTGGAAATCCTAAGGATAAAGAAAGGTGCTTGCCATGTATCTACTTTCCTTCCCTCTTTCGCTTCAACTTGTGCCCCATTCATTCGTGGGCAGATGGTGCGTGTGGCCAGCTCATAGTATAAAAGATGAGCGGAGTAAATGCTGCTGATGCAAAACGGGGTAGTGTGCAAAAACTAAACTAAAATAAAACAGCTCATATATTTTGGGGGAGAAATGAAGCACTTTTTCGAAAACTGTCAAATATCGAGAAACTAGGGTTGGCCCATAAAACATGCAAGAAAACATGAATATTTGTTCAAATGAAAGAGGTCCATAACTCTGAATTTTAATCTTTTTCACTTAAATTTTACTTGAGGGCTCATTTTAGATTTTTTTTTTCCTAAACTACTAGAGCAATCAGAAAGTCATAAATACTGAGGCTCAAATGTCACTCTCAGGAACATTTTATGATCTTTGAAAGTATATTAAAATGAAAAACAATTCTGATATTTTGTGGGAGAAACTCAGCTACTTTGCCACACTCTGCTATTACTAAATCATCAAAAAAAAAGATGAGAAGCTGTCAAGATAATTGAACTGCAGAGTCACATCTCGTCAGTAGATATTTTAATCTTCCTGGCCTCGTTAGGATATGGAGACGAAACTGGAAACGTGACCCCAAAGGTTCGTTTCTGTACTTTACAAAGCGCGTTTAATCCGGTGGAAATGTGTATTTTTTTTTCCTTGTGGACCTATGTAACTGATGACTCAAAATACACAGAGGTGTGAACACATGCACATGCATGCACCTACATGCCTGCACACACATGTGCACACACACACCTAATACACCTGAAGTCCTCTCGTCAACACACTGGTGTGTGTTATTAGAAACAAATTTAAATAACCTTACTGAACACTGTCCCTTTAGGCACTGTACTCTGACAAGAGGACACAACAAAGCTACCCATGTGTGAACAAATGATTCTCCACAGGTGCTGGGAACATGGCTAAACATCAGAAGGAGTAGCAGTGTTATTATAGTTCTGAATCCAGATAAAAGAGTTGAGGATAAAAAACTTGGAAGAAGAACATTAAGGATGTCCCAGTTTGATTAGTTGATTTCTAAGAACAGGGTTTTCAAATTCAGAACCAGCGACCAGAGTCAACTTCTAGCCAAGTTTGACCCAGTTCTTCGGTGAGCTGAGCAAAACAGTCATCACAAAACTGTATTTATTTACTCAATCTAGCAATGAAGGTTGTGTGCATTAATACAGTGTTCTCTCTTACTGCAGGGTCCAAGGTAGTCACTTTGTTCTTGTTAACATTCTGACTGAGTAAAAGTACAATGTAACCTCCCCGTGTCATTTCCTCAAAATGAAAAAAATCTGAGACATGGTGACTTGCAATGCAGCTTCCTATGAGAATCAGAGGACTTGCTTAGCATTCAAAAATCCCGTTTATTTTTCTAAGTCAACTTGGGACCTAATGTGGGCACACTGGAGCACAACCATGGCGTCTTCTTCTGGGAGTAAAGGAGCAGTTGCTGGGAAAAGGATGTTCGCAGTGATGGGTTCAACACGGGACAATGAGCAGCAGAGGTCGGCTAAAAAATGCTTTGCCCCTTTAGATGTGGCTGAGTAGCAAATGGGTAGAAGGATCCTGAGTTCAACTTCTCTTTCTGACAAACACTTTGCTAAAGGAGGAGTAATTACTAGCCCCTTGGGGACTGTGGTAAGGGACCCAGGCTCTCTGGTTAATTGCCAGTGTGTTCTGAGTTTTGAAAGGGGGTACCTCTAATAGTAAGGACATGAACAGAAAACCACATCAATTGACTATAGCATGATAGCAGCATCCTGGCCCGGGGAAGTTTCCCTTGGAGGATCCCCCAAATAGGACAATGCTATAAATAGGGAGGGGAGCAGTTTTGAAAGCACAGACTGACATCCTTCCTGCTAACAGAAGATAAGCCTGGAACCAACTACAGGAGAGGGGCAAGTTCTCATGTCTGTAAATTCACAAGTATGTGCATGAGTGCAGAGGCCAGATATCAACCTCCAGTGTTGTTGCTCACAGGCTACCCATTATGGATGTTGAAAAAAGGTCTCTCCTGGGACCTGGGCTTCATCCCAGGCATTAGCCAGCAAGTCCCAGGATCCACCTGTCTCCACCTGCCTAGCCCTGGGATCACAGGTATGCAGCACCATGCCTGGACTTCTGGGTGGATGCTGGGGATCAAACTCAGGCCCTCTGGCTTTCACAGCAGACATTTTACCAACTGAGCCACCTCCTTAGCACCGAGGCTAGAAACAACCCTATCCAGTGCCTGTCAGATGGGACTTCACATCCCAACATTTCACTTCTCCCATGCCAGGAATTAATTGTTGATCCTCAAATTGCATCTTGACTTTTATGCCAACCTTCAAGAATGGGTGGAGGTTTCGATTTTTTTTATTATTTTTTTTAATTAATTTATTTATTTATTAAAGATT